CGTAAAAATTCAAAAAATATCCACTGAACTTGGTTTCCAAGATTTGAAGACGTTTGTAATACCTGAAACCTGTCTATGATTCTGAGGATCGGTCAACCGACTCTTAACAATCATAGACAGGTTTCAGGTATTACAGGAGACAATCCCCCCTAACGGCAATCCCCCCCCCCTATAACGTCCGACCCTCAGAATCATAGACAGGTTTTAGATATTACAGGCTAACGATGGAACCAAACGACCCATTCATCGGTTACCATTTGCATGTTTCCAAGCGATACAAGGCTTTGTCTACGTAAGACTCAAACTCACTGCGGATCCAGACATTTGAATTGAGAAAGCTTCCTGGAGAGGTGGTGAAACGTCTTCAAATCTTGGAAACCAAGTCCAGTGGATATTTTTTGAATTTTTACGGAACATCCAATTCTAGGTTGCAGAATACAATATATTATACGCTTAATGCTGGTGCAGAAAAGACATACTGTAGTTCAAGATGATTTGGCCCTTCCACTTGAAGCTAGTTTGGGAATATCCGCCAAGCTTTTTAGTGTTATGGTCCAAAACCCCATCCCACCACCCACCCACAACAGCTTCATCTCAACAGCCCTAAGCATTTAACTAGCTACAAACTGGGGGATTGCACAGGCTTGACTTCCTACTGTATTTACAGGTGTAGCAGCTTTTTAGGTAAGGAAGTTGTAAATATTTAATTGGAATCACTAATATATCAATGGCGGAGACCTATCGAAGTAGCCAGGTGAAAGAGAGACGTGTGTGCCCATAGAATAAAACCCAAATCACTTTCATTAATTGAGCAATGGGAGCCTAAAGAGTCAACTTTGGTAAATAGAGTAAAGTCATTTTTACACCTTGGACCATTCTAAGTATGTATGGGGCAGAGAAAAAAAGTCCTCTAAAAGAAATGTTTGAGTTCTACTTTGGGTGACCAATGTATATAATAGGGACTGGCATAAACATCATAATATGTATTGGTACAAACCATTGCTAATCTGGGAGTGGTTTAAATATTGTGTTGTTAATTGTGTTTGTAAGTTTCCTGTGTGTTTGATCGTTTGCTTTTTAGAATATTTATTTTGGAGTGTGTGTTCCATTTTAAATGTAATATTTAAAAATTTATCATTTTGTGGGTAATAGTATATATTGCATTGAGACACTGTAAAGTTTTTCTGTAAACCCCAGGATGAATAGCTTTGGCAGTGCTAATGGGAATCTGAAAAATCAAAGTAATGTATTTCTCTTCTTCTTCTTCTTTAAATGGCAAATTCAAAACCTATTTATTTTCTTATTATCAGTATTTATGTGAATTTACCTCTAGAATAATGTTACTATGTTTGAACTACACAGATATTCTCATATTTATATGTATGATTTCTGCTGTCTGTAAACACAATAGGAGAAAAGGATTTTTTTGTGTCTTTTCTTTAGACTTTTATTAAATCTCTGTCATTTGATAAAGCAATACTTTTGACCGCAGTATTAGTTTAATTCAAGACATATATATTTATTTTAAGGTCAATATACAGTATAGCACTTGGT